ATTCTGTGTATCTCAGAAAACTATCTTCTTCTTATCTGTTATCTTGTTATTTATATATTATATTTTATTATTTAATGTAATTATTCAATGAAAATATTTAGAACAGATTACTTTATTAAGAAAAAGGCATTTCCTTATCGTGCAACTGAAAGTTGCTGATGGCTTGCGCCATCTATCGAAATAAATATCAACTATTCTCGTTGATTATTAATTATTCCAGAATGGCCAAATACCCATTCTTGCAACGCGTCCGTGGTTGGCTTTTCTTGATTACTAAATAATGAGTATTTGGCCAATTCTGGAATAATTAAAAATCAACGAGAATAGTTGATATTTATTCCAATAGATGGCGCAAGCCATCAGCAACTTTCAGTTGCACGATAAAGAGATGCCTTTTTCTTAATTTATACAACTTATCCCAGTACAATAACATATTTGTACTATTTAGTACTATATATATATATTTTTTTTTTCAGATTATTTCATATTTGTAAAATCATTATTAGTTGCCTAACTTGCTTGCTCGATATTCTCTAGCTGTAGATAGTTTTGTTAATAATTGTCGACTAGTCGCAGTGACGTCATCAATAAATACGCTTACATCTTAAAATATACAAAGACTTGATTTCTACGCTACACTATTATTTACAAGGCAGTCCCAAAAGTTCATAAAAACTTACAAAAAATTGAAATACCAATATTATTCACTGTTATGTATAATGTCTTTGTATTATGTCTATAGTAACTGTATTACGTATTATTATGTATAATATTATTCGCCAAAAGTAATAAGAAAAACACGAACTTTTCTTCTTCTTTCTTATCTCCACTCAATCATATTAGGGTATCAAGTTGTGACCTTTGATGGTGTCTGTTTGAAAACCATCATAACTGGGTGAAGTAGAATGTGTCTGCCTTTGTCATTAAGACTAGGAGCACTACTCAGTGGCAGGCCGACTTAGCTCCAAAAGAAATCGCCGTCTCTGACATGAGGAACAGACGCCATGTGCAGCCGCTCCTAACATGGAGTACAAATGCTGCTCATCCTGTATTCCTGGATTAGGAGTCCTTACAGGGTACTATCAGCCGGGCCAGCTGAACCCAGGTTTTTTAGTGAGCTTGTTACTGCTCCCCCTCCTCCTTTTTCATCCGGGCTTGGGACCGGGAAAGGCAGACTTTTGAGACCTTATTTTATTCTTATTATTGTTTATTAAGCTATCGATTCATTTTACAGTTTTATGAAAAGATAAATCATATACTAATGAAAAGAGAAGGGTTTAATTTCAATCGAGTATATATATTTCTGGAATATTTTGCATAGAAAAATTGTTAGGATTCTGAAAAATAGGTATTGAATTTAGAAAAGCAAATATTTATTCATAATTGACATATTTTGTGCAAATAAAAACTATCAGCAATAGTTATTATTCGAAAAATAAAAAATAAACAATATTAAGGCAAAGGGTTTCTTTTAAATTTGATTTTCGCAGGTTTTCAGGCAAAATTTCTGCTCTTCAACGGGCATATACTTCTATATACAATATCAAGATGAACTTTGTACAGTAATGATTGTGTTATTATCAACAGGTACTATAATCAGAAGTGGGGAAAATTCAATTCAATGACGAATTAAAATGTAAAAATTGGGGAGACAATGACCAACATGTTAACTGTCAATCCTTACCGAAGTGCAAAAATTGCTCTACACATCCTAAATATTGGAATAGCAATAATTATCGTTCTACTGACAAATTATGTCCTGTGTTCCTTCAACAAATTAATCATATATATGTAAATAATACTAGCACAGCACAATAGTCCTTTGGACTTCGTGCTTTTTGTAATCAATAAATAGATATAAAACAAATTCAATGATAATTCACGATTAATTATTCAAATTAACACATTGTTCAATAATATTCATATAACTGTAGTTAAAATATTAAGAAGATTATCTCAATTCATTTCTTTCTAGAATTTTTAAAAATAATATCACTGAACATAGAAATCACTGAGCGTAAATTAATTTCGTTTTATGTCAACAGATGGCTCTATTATTTGATCCTTTAATAAAGATCAAGTAAATACTCGAGAAGCTATCTCTCTCCTTAATATTGGATGTAGCAATAGAGGAATGTGAAGCGTATTATACGCCATGTTCCACATGGTATTTAATAAGGGTATATAGAAGAGGGTATAGCTCCTAATTACTGGAGCGCTCAAAAGAAGAAACAGCTGATTCTGCAATCACGGGATATTACTTGGTGTCCTAGGCATATTGATTGGGAAATAACAATATTGGAACATCCGGGCCTTTTCTTTCTTTCATACAATTCTTCCTTTTTTTTTTATTCTTTATGACGCCTATCATTTGGCTTTCTCTTCATAGAACAGGATCATTCTAGTAATTGGAAAAATAAATGGACACCTTTTTATGATTTGGATAAAATAGGTTAAAAGAAGACATTAAGTTTATATCCTTTTATATTACTCATTATATATATTGGTGTATGTATAATTGAAGAGAAAATTAGAAAAATAAATGATACATTATCGCGCCACCTGTATTTAGAAAAAGGAACTATTTATTGCACGGAAATGTATATATGGGATTATTAATTTTGTGTGAACTATTTTGTACTTTTTCTCTTCGAAAATAAAAAATATATTTATCTATATAGATAGATCGTAATAAAAACATGTAATCTAACTTCTTTATCAAATATAATTGTTGCACCAAGTTGCAGCTTTGCAGGGTCATTGACCTTGGTTTCCTCCTTCTTGGTGTTATACACGTTTCCTGAGCGGGTTTCTATACTCAAAGCAAATAAAGAAAAGTAAATAAAAGTAAATTACCTTTTAAGGTTATTGTGTTTATATATTCGTTGTCTTCCTCGTAGGTCGTGATTCTCAGTCTTCCTCTCCGTCCTCTCTCGCTCCAATAACCAATCAAGATATACAATAAGTAAGTAATGTATGTACAATATAATATTACAAAAGATTGAAACTATGAAAAATAATGAATACCCTTGTAAATAATCTGTTTTAAATAAAATAAAATATCATAGAATATTTGGAATAAATGTTGGGCGCATTAAAATTGATGCATCAATATATTCATACACAAAAAAGGTACACCTTTTTTATTATTCTTGGCTCGCATTATATTTCATGAAAAAGGTAACAAAGAATTCATTGATATATCATAATAACTAAAAGTTGATATTATTTTTCCACACAATTACGATTCGAACAATAATTCTAACTGGCAACTATGATATTTTATATCAAAAGATCATTTTTTTCTGTCAAAATATTCTGTTCAGCTCACTTAAAATCATCTCAAATTGTCGATACCTAATTGAGTTAGTGAAGACAACAGCCTGACAGGACTTTGTTCAAGTTTGTTTTTGTTGTTTCCTTCTATTAGCAGTATTTAGTTTCTTCCTTAGTCTGTTAACTTCAGTTGATTTCGTTTCCGTGCACTCTTTTTTCTCAAATTTTTATTCAATTAAATCGTTAATTCAATAGAATTCTCATAATAAAGTACATTTGAATTATCTCTGGTGGTGGGGGTGTCTTTTTAATTTCAATTTAAAGCGCTTTGTCCCCTAGAGACACTTGCGCTGTCATACATGTATGCCTTTACATTTGTCTATATATATATATATATGAAAAACAATAGAAAAAATAAAAAATAAGTGGGTCAGGTGTTGATATTAAAATAAAAAAGGCATATCCTGACCAAGAGAATATGTGCTTTTCAGAAGCCAGATCGCCATCTGGTGGAACAGAAATCAACTAAACATTGAAATTGGGTTGGCCAAATATCAGGGAACAGGCTAAATCAATGTTTAGTTGATTTCTGTTCCACCAGATGGCCCTCTGCCTTCTGAAAAGCACATGTGCTCCTGGTCAGGATATGCCTTTTTTATTTTAAATATAAAATATATATACAATAATTTTAGGCCGTGAATAGAATAGTCATATGATGTTAACAATGAGAAAGAGAGAAAAAAAAGAACAGTGAACAAAATAAAAAAAGTGTCTGGCAATATGCACAATCAGCATAATATAAATTATCAGTTTCTTAAAAGATATATGTTACATTATAATTTAAACTATATCTACAAAAGGTATTAAATTTAATATACATTTCTTTACTGGAAATAAAAATACATAGATCTGTTATAATTAAATTATTTTCGATTCTGTAGTTTCAAAAAACAGGACAATCTATTATAATAAAAGATGTATTGAGGTTTGTTCCTCATGTCCATAAAAACAACTCGAGTCTTCCACCGCTTTCTTTTTAAAAGGCTTCTGATATTTCCATGATTAGAAATGAATTGAAAATTTTGAAGTTTGGTTGAAAATATTTTGATATGTTGTTAGGGAAGAAGCTTTGTATTATCTTATATGGTCATTTTCAGATATCCCTTAGTTCTCGGAATTCTTTTTTTAATGATAAAAACATATAATTGTTTTCAAACATTAAGGGAAAGGTGTAAGCGTACCTTTTTAAAAGGATTATCAAAATGAAAAATCTTAAAATTAAAGATACTTCGTCCAGTAAATCTTTTTTATTATCTCGATTTTATTAACTGACCGAAGTATCTTTAATTTTAAGAACTATGAATCAGGCCAGGCAGCCTCTTTCTTTGCGAAAATGAAAATGTTAGAATTTATATTTGGAGCTCTTTATATGTTGATAAAAATCTAATGAAGAATTCCTAGGTCCCAAATCTAAAGTTATTACTTCGACAACTCTTCAATTAAAGATAGTTCATACAAATAGATATCTATAACGAACAAATATTTATTTATAATACAATACGGCTTATTATTGTAGAACGAGATTTGAAATTTATCCCGTATGTGTTTCTTTAAAACGAAAAAATACAAATTTATTTTAAATAGAAATAACGATTATTTCTAACCTTAGGGATGAAGTATGAAAGAATGAATTGTGAAGAGTAATGATAAACGGAAAATAAAGAGTCCAGGGATGGGAATCGAACCCACACTGCTTACCGGGCAGATGCCATGTCCACTAGGCTACCCTGGACATATTTTTCCGTTCGTGAAAATTTATATATTTGGAAGGCTTGGTTTATCATTGGTGCTCTTTAATATCTTTTCATCGCAGTAGGGCATTGAAAGTTGATTTTATTTGGAAAAATAGTAAATTCAGAGTTAAAAGCAAGCCAAATGAAACGATCTATCAACAGAATAAAAATTAAATAAAAGATAATTATATAATAATACATATTTATTTTTTGGAATTTGAAACATAAATCGGAAATCTATTAAACAGCATCAAAAACCTGTACGAATTTAACTTGATTATATAGAGTGGTCTACTTTTAAACTTTTTCTCTGGTTTTTATCATTAAAAATACAAATGTTTGACAGTAATAAGAATAAACTCGAGTTATAATGAGACGTACAAATGTATATTTCACACGGAACTGTCAGATAAAAACCTTCTTTCCTTAAACCTAATTATAGAGTTAAACATTTTTTTTTAAATAACATATTCTAAACTTTTGGACATTTTACAAATTATTTTACTTATCTTAGCTATACATATGGTACAGGTCATAATAATCTTGTTGAATATTTAGCGACTGATTTTTGGAAATCTTAATAGAAAGATATAAATATAAAATTATATTTATATTATATATATCCGTATTATAATATATAATATGTAGCATAAGCCATGATAAGCATGATCACCTGGATGCTCGTGTGGAGGCGAAGAACAGAACCCCAGACACTTATTAACTGACTGCCCGTTGACCGCTGACCTTAGGGAACTAAATCAACTTCCCATAACAAATATGCAACATCTGGTCTACACTAAGGACATACACCAAAGATTCAACACATTCTGCAGAATGTACTTAACTAAATAAGTGATTACTAATGTAATCAATACTGATATGTAAATATGTATATATCCCTTTAAACTACTTTTTCTTTCATTTAAATTTAAATATTTCACACGCAAATATCCGATTTGTGAATATAGCGTGTATTCTGCAATTGTTAAATAAATAAATGGTGAAATTTAACGACTGAATTTACTCTATGTGCACCACATGTTTACAGTAGAAAACAGTTTGACATTTGCACTTACAATTGTGCCAGAGCCCCGTTTGATTACTTGCACTCACTGGTGGGTTTGAACTGTTGCAAGAATCAGGGGGCATTGAGACATTTATTTTCAAATCAGAAAAAGTTCCTAATGCAGGATTAGATCCTAGGTCGAAGCGGTGGAAAGCCAACATTTTTGACTACTCGATCACAAAACCCATTTCTTTAATTATCAATTGGACACAATTCACTAGTGTGTTGGTGAGATTTCAATCTAGAATATTTTGTGGATATTTTCCTATTTAGCTGAAATGTATGTTTAGGTGTTTTATTTGATAGCATGAAAGCATGAAATCATCTCTCTTTTATTTTATAAATTGATAAGAAAATGATCTAATACAACTTCAAATAAAAGATTATTTCAAGGAGAGACCATTTGATTCTTTTGTTTTTTATTGTTTCCTCTTATGGGAATTTAAACGGTATCACCTATGGCATTCTGAGTTTACCAGAAATAAGCTGTCAACGACAATCCAGACATGTTTAAAGATTAACTAAATTTGCCTTCAAACTTATATATATATATTATATAATAAAAATACATATATTGGATTGAGAATGAAATATTCATTTGCCAATATTTCGGCTGGCTGAACACCAACCTTTATCAAGTCATTACATTTTTGTATAAACAAACTCAGCGCCGTATAGTGTTATAACACCTCGCTGCGCTGAGTTTGTTTATACAAAAATGTAATGCCTCGATAAAGGTTGACATTCATCCAGCCGAAATATTGGCAAATAAATCTTTTATTTAATCCAATATATGCCTTTTTATTATCTAGTGATTTAAGTATGGATTGCTTTATTTCTCAGAACGGTATATATATATATAAAGTTTGAAGTCAAATTTTGTTAATATTTAAACATATATATATTTCTATTTAATAAATAATAAATTAAGTTAAAAGAATTCACAAAAAAATTCTACACCACCCTAATTTAATTTTCTATCGAAAACACGGAAATGTCAAACCTTTATAATTAAATTTACCATATAGAAAATCTGTAAAATCTTTTAAGATTATAAATCTACTATTTGAATTGTTGTTTTCTTTTAGGAATATAATTCTCAAAGTTTAATATTAAATTGAGAAGGAATATGTAAATATTTTCTTTAATAAGTCAACATATGGGAATAAATATATATTTTGATGCATTAGCACGCCATCTGTAATGAAAATTCGAAACTATTATAGACGTGTATGATTCTTTTAAAAAATAAAACAATTTCTACTGTTCTCACTGCAATTTTTACATTAATATTTCCATTGTAGTAAGGGCAGTAGAAATTGTTTTATTTTTAAAAGATTCATACGCGTCTATAATAGTTTCGAATTTTCAAATATATATTTAATTGATATATATCAATCGAAAAAATTGCAAAATTTTCTTTATACATAATAGACTCATTCTGGAATCACTAATTTCAAATAAAAACAGCAGTATAAACAGTAGAAGTGAAATACCACAGCAATATCAACACACATCGCGAAGATAAATCCATAGTCTTTACCTAGTTGAGTTATGATCTGTCATCCATTCATCAAAAGATTCTTTAATATATTATTTGTAATAAAAATTAATCATGTTTTCAATAGTTTTTGCATATTCATTTCGTATATTCTATAAGCTCAATTAAAGCTATTTCTGATTTTAACTATTTTATTTTTCTGTTCATAAAATACTGCAATATCACACCACTACTCATGTATCCAAAAATAATCAGCATCAGCTAGTATTAATTCTATAACTCTAATTCCAAAATCATCAGAAAATATTTTTTTGTAATGTATATACAGTTAACCCTGTCTATACCACCCTCTCTTGGGACTCACCAAAATAGGGTGCTATAGAAAGGGGGTGCTATAGACAAGTCACTTTCAATGTAAATCGCATCGTACTACGTATTTAATTTCGGATGCTATAGAGAGGAAGGCACTATTTATAGGGGGCGCTATAGACAGGTTTAAATGTATATAGGGTTTTACAAAGTTATTATTCCTAGTATACAAGTATACGTTATTCCTAGTATTCCTCGTACATGGTAAAGGTTATGATAATCATGATGGGTAGAAGTTGGCGACTGCTTTTACTGTAAGTGCATCACTTGTCTACACATGTTTAAAGAAGTTCGACTATTACCTTTACAAGTGTTAAAGTTCCCCATATAAATACTTTCATACTTTCACACACTGATGAGATTGGACTTTTCTAAAAATCGGAGGCGATTGAAGCAATTTTATCAGAAAAAAATTACCAATGCGGGATTCGAACCCGGATCCTAACTGGCAAAATTCGCGCTTCTACCCTGAAAATTTCATAATTTTCTGTCCACTATTTCTTGCTGTTTCATTCTCAATAACATGCAGTTTAAATATGATAATCCTAAAATTATTATTATCAAATTTCAATTACTACATTAATATAAATTTGTATTCAACATTGCACAATTTAAAAACCGAGAGAGGGAGTAACATATTTTATTTTAATTAATAAATAATTACATTTCCAGATATTTCTTTCCTTCTAACATCACGTGATTATAGCTTTAATTAAAAATAGTAAAATAATGGTTTCCGTGTATAATACCAGATCATTAATTGTCTACTTCATTGGAAATGGAAAAAATACTGGAAATGTACGTTTAATACCGGTGAGCTCATTAATTATCATTTTAAGCTTAATTATAGAAGCAATTCATTTATTTTAAATGAGAAAATTAATATTGGGAAACCTAACCATTGTAAAAAATACATTTAATTGCAATATATTTTAATTATTTAATTTTTAACAAATGTATTGAAATATAAAATATGTAATTTTATTATTTTTAACGATATGTTCCATATGATATATAAAATCAAGAATATGTTTGAATTATCAATATAGACCTAACTACAAATGCGTAGACACAGTAACAAATGTAACTAAAACAAAGCGTGTTAAATATCAAATTGAGAACATATATATATATATATATTTATTTATTAATATACTTATGGACAAAACCTAAGGAAGTAGAAAGTCTTTGATATCGGCAGTTCTGTTTTTTTTTAAGAGAAAGGCAATTTTGTTCATTCTTGGTTATCTGGTGTGTTTTCAATAAAGTACACTGTAATATCTTCAGAGTTATTGTCTGAATCCTGATATACACGCTTAAAGGCACAGCTTCCTAAATTTTGTCCATGAGTATATACACTGCGTGACATTGAAAATGGAACACCAAGAAATAGTGGCCAGAAAATTATGCAAATTTCAGGGTAGACGCGCCTAACCGAGTTATGCAAATGATGTAAAATGCGCAGCTCTCGTGCGCACATGGAGTAAGATATAAGGGAAGGAACTTGCAGAAAGGACAGTATTCGTGTCGTTATTTATTCAAGGAAAATCATTGTAGAAATTTTTTTTCTTGTGTCAAAAGACACGTGTAATAACAGAGAATGCCAGGTCATCGTAAACGGAGGCAGTTCAAGAAGACAGACGCTTTTACGAGGGGCATGGTGATCGGACTGAAAAGGGCAGGTTGGTCCATACGTCAAATCGCAGCTGATACACACCTTGGTGCGTCCACGGTGCACGGACTGTGGAGAAGATGGTTGGAACAAGGAAATGTGGCAATTTATAGGAATGTCGGTGCAACCAGAGTGACGTCAGCACGTGTGGATCGGCGTATCCTTCGACAAGCAGTGGCGGCCCCACAAGCCACTTGTACCGCCATCCTGCAACATGTGCAAGACACCCTAGATCATTCCATCTCGACCAGAACCATTTCCCGTCGATTGGTTGCTAATGGCTTGCACTCATGCCGTCCGCTAAGAAGACTGCCATTGACCCCACCGAATAGGCGCCAACGTTTGGAATGGTGCCGGGCTAGATCGACGTGGATGACGGAATGGCACAGGG